TAATTTGGAAGTCAAAATGAATTTGTCTAATATTCAGTATAGATCAATCCACCAAACAGTTTTGCTCTATATAGCGCGTAAAAAATCAACCCATTTTCAGCTGTCCCCATTTTTGCATCATGACGCACTAGTTTGCATTAGGCCAAAACACTAAAAATCCCAACGATTGCGCCATATTGCAAACTACGCAGCAGTGTAACAGGCTGCAGTGTAACAGGCCAACAAAAGTTTGCAGATAGTTTTTCTCAACTTTCGTTTGACTGCTGAGATCATGGTAAAGATCAGTAAAGTGTAGAGAGCTTTTTGTATTAAACATTTTCTCACCACCAACTCATTTCGTAAGTTTCGCACAAGGTACGGAGATAACGTTAAAGTGCCCTTAAGGACTTTTTTGAAGTCATGGGTGAAAATGGTCCATTAGGACACGTGTAGAGAATCAGAACTAAAAATTCCTGGACAAAACGACCACTTCAGGCCAAACACACACTTTTGCTCCCCTTTTAACTTCACCAGGGTTCAGAACTCAGTAAATGAGCCCCATGAGACGTCTGTCCGTAGACGATGTCAGCAGCAATGACTTCCCTACATCTCAACGGTCCGCATTCTCAAGGCATATCTTCGTCTACGGCAGTACCATTTTCCCATTCGCAAAGCCATCATAAGTTGGCAATGTGTTCATGATTCCTTGCTTGTTTGAAAAGCGTGAACATTCCTCTATGATTTTGGTTCATTGGCAAAGCCCATATTCACCTTTCAGGTTATATCAACTCCACAAATGCTGTCTACTTGGGCAACCTCATCTCCCCACCCTATTGTCTCTAGAAACAGCTCCATAATGTAAGGTGTACAGTGTGTGTGGCTTTGAGTACTCATGGTTGAGTGGATCCTTGTGTTTGGCCACCACTGAACAGTACGAACGACGCATTCAAATGTGTCGAGTCCAAAGGAGGACATACAGACCATTGCTTCTCGGAATTCCAGAATCTAAAACAAATGTTTTTAAACTCTTTAGGAGAAAAGATATTGTTAAAGGTTACAGGGATGGAAAAATTAGATTTTTAAAATAAAAGGAAAGGACCCCCCCCCCCCCTCAATAATTTCAGGACCTTCCTTACAAGATTTTTCAAATTGGCGCTTTTGGCATTTATAGGTGGTTTTTATAAAAGCCATTTCTGTTTTCGAAAATGTGTTGTTCTTCGAGAGTTTTATGTCAAACAAATTCCTTTTGAATGAATAATATCTGTTCCAAATTACAACTTTCTAGTAAAATTTTTGTGTGAGATATTTAGAAAAAAAGTTGTACTATTTTTTCGGGATCACCGTGTACTTACGGTCAATGGGTATTCTGTAATAAACCACATCGAGAATGTCGTCTAACAATACGCGCGGATATTTCAGAAAAATGTATTATCCAAAATGACAAAAAAAAGCAACAACTGTTGTTCTTAGATAAGAAGAGTAACAATTTAACACACACACACACACACACACACACACACACACACA